GTGTTAGTAAATTTAGACAAAGTGACACACTTCGGTGTTTATGACAGGGCATAAAATCACGGTTATCGGATGATAACATTTTCTTAACACAAAAACGTTTATGTCCACAAAAGGCGTTTAATTTTGAACGGTTACATGCCTATAGTTAGCGCAAAGACGCGTTCATAATTGGCGTTGGTTTTTGCGGTGTAAGGACGGAGGCAATGACTCACACGTAATCGAGAGTGTTGTTCCTGGTTGCAAATGACCGCTCTCCTAAGGACGACAGTTGGGACTGGAATAAGTATCTGGCAAAATAATCCATCCAATTTATTGGTTTGGTTTGGAAAAGGAATTTTGATAGTACGTGCGTTGTAATTGGATGAAACCTACGTGTACAAACCTCAGTTGAGAACTGGTTTTATTTAGATCATAACATTATACCTGCGTTTTCTCCGACAAAATGCCACTCTAAACGTTTTTTTTCTCTCTTTTCAGTCAGAAATTCAGCTAGTGTAGTGTCTGATGTTGCCGTTAAAACTGTTCATACTCACAGACGCGTCAGTTTGGTATCATGAAACAGCCAGTCCACTAGTTCAGTGATTGGATTGTCAAATAGCATTCTGCAAGATACAAGAATATTCCGGATCATTACAGGTTTTAAAACTACAGTTTAAAAGTCGAAAATGAAACAGCATCATCTGCAGTCAAAAGACATGGGTAGGGCTTCCTCTGCTGGGGGATCCTTCTTCTTCCTGTGGTGTAGCGGCCAAACTCATTTTTGATTTCTAACCGATTGAGGGCGCTATAAGCGGGGACCATAAAAACAGCACTGAAAGCAAGATAGCTCCATCACGTTTTGCATCTTACAGATTTTGATTCGCCAATCCTGCCGAAGTTTATTTAACGGTTGGAGCTCATTATTCTCAGGATTCTCATATTAAATCAAAGAATTTGATTAAGTAATTACTGGGTTATTTATAGTCTTGTATAAGCCGAAACTCACTCATTTAGGCCATGCTGTTACATCGGTGGAATACTTTATTGTAAATGGTAAATAATACAGATACGCACATGGGGGGCCTACATATTGGAGCTATAGTCAAAGTTATGGGGTTTCGTATTGTCTAACTTAAATATTGGGCATCATATTCTTTTAGGGGAACTTAGATACATGTATTAGTGTCACTTAGATACACCTAAGTGCAAGTTATAATTTAGGTCGAAGTAAACATTGGGTGCATGTATATTTACATGTTCAAAGTGGGCATGTACATGTATTATTATCACCTGGACATGGGATGTACCGTACTCTTGATTTATGCTTTATATTTAATTTTATTTTAGTCAATCTGTGCCTGTGCCTGTGCATCAAGCTGTATACATGAACAAGAAGAGAAGCATTAAACATCTGGATCTGACGTGCACACTATACATGTACAGCATTACGTGTGTATCCTTTGGAAGATTCATCATTGACGTTTAGCATCAACATGGATAAGGGGGCGGACAACATTAACGCACTGGGAGCTACAAACCATGAGCATGAGAAAGTTGACACACACAGTGGAGACACTGCACTTCATGAATCATCGCGGGCACGAATGCAAACCGAAAAAGGACTTGCCTATCAAAAGGACATGAAAGCAAAGCGTGTGTCAGAGCTATTCAGGCAAATAAAGTCAAACACAGAAAGGCTTGAATTTGAAACAGGCCATCGAGATGGCAAGATTGAAGCTGAAGCTGGAAGAAGAGGAGCTAAATTTGACTACAAAAATGGACATTGTTGAAGCAAAAGAAAGGGCTTTGGACAGTTTTGAGTTTCAATCTAATGCAGGTTCAGTTATTAAGAATCCAAATTCAGTTAAACAGCTCACTGAGAATACTGTGTTAGTAGCAGTGCAACCGGTTAACCAGTCAGATTTAGTAGACCAGACTAATGGTGGTCAGTCTACACTAAATGTGAATGCTCATTGTTTTGTACCAGAGAGTCATAACCAAAGTAGTAGTAGTGCACAAGTACAAGGTAAACAGAGTAGTAATGCTAGTGTACAGTGCAAAAATCCATCAGTGCCATTGCACGCCAGAACATGTAATAACCATTCTGTTTCAGGTGAGAGTGACAAGCACTGTGGCAACAACCGAAGTGAAACTGCCACTTCAGGTGACAACATCCTTCTCTCTGTTGTTCAGAAACTGAAAAGACCCATCCCAGAGATCAAGCGGTTTAGTGGAGATCCAACTGACTACCGACAGTTTATCCGGCAGATCAATACGGAAGTGGCAGTACACACCGAAAATGACGACGAGCGACTGAGCTACTTGGAGTAATTCACTACAGGAGAGGCAAACAGAATTGTCTCAGGTTTTAGCCACCTTTCCGCTGAGCAAGTATATCCAGCAAGTGCAGTCAAGATATGGAGATATGCATCTCATGACCAACTCCTTCATTAAGAAAGCACTCGATTGGCCATGTGTTCGTCCAGACAACCCCAAAGCACTTGATGATTTCTCCATCCTACTGGTGGAATTTGAAAATGCTGTGAAAAGCATCCAAGCAGTAAAGGTCCTTGAGTATCCAGACAACATGAGGAAGTTGGTCGGAAAACTACCATCATATCTGCATGACAGGTGGAGAAATGTTGTTCGGAAAACCAAAGAAAAGGGGGAAACCATCCAATTTAGCCAACTTGTAAGGTTTGCAAAGGAAGAAGCGAAGAAGGTGATGGATCCGACATATGGCAGAGACGCACTGATTCAAGACGCAAAAGGCAAAGGTGCGAAGCCCATCACCAAGTACACAAATCGTTCAAAGGGTAGCTTCGCCATAGAGGTCTCAAGTGCTGAGCCAAGGCAGACAGGGTGCAACAAAGAAAGAGACAAAGGGCCAACTGCACTGACATCTGACAAGCAAGAAGCAAGAAGAACTGCAGTAACTTCAGTCGCTTTACTGACAAGTGCAAACGTCTGTCTAGTTTGCCTCCAACTGAATGGACAGACTATGTAAAGGCCAAAGGTCTATGTTTTGGATGTCTTAAGTGAGGACATCAGAGCAAGGAGTGCCGTTGCAGATCCGTGTGTGATGTTTGCAAACTGCGACATCCAACCTGTCTTCACGATGAAAGCAGAGCTCCCAAGTCAGAGCCACAGCCTAATCCAGATGGTGGCAAAGGCGAAAGTGCAAACTTCGCAGAGCAGGCAGGAGGTAACACAAGGGCCGGTCAGCAGGGTCAATGTACGATGGCAATTGTACCAGTTCAAGTCAGATTCAAAGATGGTATAAAAGCTGTAAAGACGTACGCTAAAGACGTGGCTCAACAGCTTGGAGCAAGTGGTCCATGTAAGTCCATTACTTTAGACACCATGGGGAAGCCGTACTCAATGAAGACATATCACATCGAGGGACTGAAGCTTAGTGACTTGGACGTGAAGAATGAGATTGATCTTCCAGTCACATACACGAAAGGCACAATTCCGGTTTCCAATTCGCCATGTCCCAAGGACAGATGACATCTCGAAGTGGGATCACCTGAGAGACATCAGTTTGCCAGAAATAGATGCAGACATTGGACTCCTGCTT